CCTCGTCTTTATGTCAACTTTAAGTTATTCATTGCCTACATCAGTGACTTCAAAATATATGTTTCAATCCCAAGAATTTAACTCGCTGTTAATTGCATGGGAGTGCCAGTCTTTCATGAATTACTGGGAACATGAAGCTGTAACTAAATCCTGGTATAAGCACCGGTTAGGCAGGCTTGAACTATGCATGTGAAGCCACCTGAGAGGTATATTCAATCCAATAGATTGGATTTATCATTGAATTTATCATTGTTTGGTAACTATTTGCTGCAAATGCAGCAAAAATCAATATAAAAATATTACCCACACAGCATTCTACAGGTTACTTGTATCATAAAGTATTTGTCTGCCATTACAAAATATCATCAGATTTCACTGACTTTTATCATAAAGTAGTTGTCTACCATTACAAAATATCATCAGATTTCACTGACTCAGTTGACATAAATACATGTTCAGTCTCATTTCAGTTTCACAACTTTTGACCCAAAATGTTGTTTTTTTTAGACAAAAATCAATTCTATTTCATGAATCATATTTTTGATAAGCTGCCATAACCAGTTAATGTGAACCATACGATACAGAGGAGTTCATTTTCAATTTTCTTGGCTTCACACGCACCAATTCTCACATAACGGTTCTAAATCAGATTACACTGTACTGACAAAATTTGAATTTATCAGAGATGTGATGCACCACTTTTGGTGGAATATAACCATTTACCCCTTCATATTTTCAATGATGTTGTTTACTGGGAAAGAACCCACTCACGTCACCGACAGGTTTGCCAGAATAACAATCTCTTGCAAGCTGATTCACCGTTATTTCTATAGTTGGTGTTTGGTTTGCACCGATTCTTCATGGATCAAAGATGGTCGACTGGCAGGCATCTTGTTTTTTTTTATGCGGTATCTTGGACGTGCTCTGTCAGTTTTCATTCAAATTTGTCAGTTTTCATTCAAATTTGGCACATACATGTACTTTATACATGTTAGGATGCATGTCCATGACAATTTGTTTCAAAATCTGAGTTCAAATAATAGTTTTAATATAAACATAACATTATTGCACTGTTGTACAAATTGTATTAAATATTATTACCATGACTACGCAGAGTGGTAGTTTCCCTTTGCTTAGGTGTTACTGATAGTAATACTGTAAAATACTTTATTTTCTCTTGGAATTAATTTTCGCTGAAGGAATGATTCAGTGAAAATGAAATCCAGCGAATATACCTTTTTTCCAATATTTTACATTCAACTTGTCAAAAATCAGTGAAAATAAATTCCATACAAAACACCACAAATGTCTTTTCAGCGAAAATTCAATTCCAGCTGAAATAAAGTATTTTACAGTATTACTGACAGAAGCTTTAAAAGTTGTATTATTCACAAAATATTGTTTCATAGTCATGTCTAGTAACATGTGAGTTTTACTAAATGCAACAGCTACAGAATTTGCAAAACATGATTTCCCAAACTGTGAAACCTAAGCATTACCTATTTTCAACAGCTTAACTGATTCAACAGCTACCGTAATATAGCATGGGGAACTAAGAGTGAGGTAGTTACATGGACACATTGTCATAGATAACCAAGGTACAGGGGTTTTAAAAATAGTGTTTTGATTAAGTACTAGGCAGTATACAGAATGAAGTATAGGCTATTGCTACATAACACCATAACTGCCTTATTTATTGCAACATATTACAGCACTCATACATATTGCTACATTGTGACAGTACCTTGGTACAATCAACACTTTCCACCAAATTCACTGTATTCCTAGCACTGAACAGCACACAACGAATAGTACTCACACAACTACACAGCCTAATAATACACATCGACTGATTCATGATGTTCCAAGATTTCCATACACGGAGTCCCAATTAACGAATGTCCGTATTTATGATTAGCAACCAAAACATTGAAGCCACTTTCCTCCATGTATTTTAAACGATGCGGATCTACAACACGCATTTCATCAATAAATTCTCGAGTGTAAATCATATTTCGTTCGTTGAATCTTTCTGTGGCTGGAGTATTTAATCTCTTCCATGTCCAGTCTCTACCTGTAAATCTGTGGCGAACGGCGTTGAAAAGCGTAAACACAAACACATTTGTTGCCGATACTTCTTGAAGTCTCTCCTGCATCTCACGATAAGTGCTTGACGGCCTATCCGAGGTTCAAGAAATTTTAAATCTCCATGCGGTAATTTGGTGCGTCTCCCCCTATTCAAGACTGATGGTTTTGTCAAACTTGTTTGTATGTATCTCAGCCATACTTTTCGGACCCCGGCCGCGATTATTGAAAACTTGCGCCCTACTGCAGGGAACACTGCTCTCGGTACCTCGCCGGTATTCATATTACCACCACTCTCCATGATTTCCTTTATGATTATTTGAGATAAATCATCACTGAGTGACGTTCCCTTCTGGTATGGTCTGTTGTGACAATTATAGTTCGCCATAACCAATATTACATCAGAATCTGAAACACAGACACAGACGGCGGGCACGACCGGGCTTTCTTGTCCACGTAGTTTGGAGGAAAGACACCAAGTGAACGAAGTGTTACAATGTGATCACATTTTGGTTAAAATTATAAAGAGTGCAACCTGATTGGTCTCAATGTTTGGCTGTCGAATAATGCTACATTCATGCATCTAACTACTAAATCCAAACACTGTTTTTAAAAACCCTGCATTCACCCTGTATTTACCCTCTAATTCCATTTGTCATATACGTGTACATACGCACTCTACCATGCTTAGGAATTAACTAGTGTATGTGCAATCACCATGGTTACTTACATTCTGCCATTCTGATAGCTGCCACTAATATCACATGTTTTACAACCCACCACCCATGATATACAGACGAGTACAATCGCATACACGGCCGCTACACCTACAAAGAAATTAACAACAGTGTCAAACGCATAAACGGCCTCTCCACCTACAAAGAAATTAACAACAGTGTCAAACGCATAAACGGCCTCTCCACCTACAAAGAAATTAACAACAGTGTCAAACGCATACACCGCCGCTACACCTACAAACGAATTAACAAAAGCGTTAAACGTATAAACCGCCGCTACACCTATGAAGACAATAAATAACAACGTCAATGACGTAATGAAGACATTAACAACAACGTCAATGACGTAATGAAGACATTAACAACAACGTCAATATCAATACCATACATGGCTTCTACAACTATGAAGACATTAATAACAATGTCAATGGCATTTACGGCCACTAGGCCACACCAAATCACTTCGACAAATCACTTCGACTGTTATGTTCATAAATATCTACAATCTCTGAAAAAAATGACGAACGCTGACGAGTACTAACTGAGCAGTACTCATTTGATCATTTTGATGTCAGAATTAGAACAAAGATATATACTAAATTACATATAGATAGATGAATAGTGGAATTGATACATTTATTATTCAAATTGAAAATGAAATCTTCTGTAATCAATGTTTTGACATTCAGTATATTGTAGATGATTGGTAAACATTTAAAGATGTTCTAATATTATTTCATACCTGACTGTGTAATTTATTAATTATTTAAAATACAAGCAAATATGTAAATTTAGTCAACATAACACTACGATTGTCGATTTTGACCACTGTTTTATGACACATCTCTGAAACAAAAACCAAAAAAACTTTTCTACTCCTCAAAGATAAGATTTTGCCTTGTGCATAACTTGATATTGATCTACTGTGAAATACTTTATTTTCGCTTGGAATTAATTTCCGCTATTTTCGCTGATTTTCGCTGAAAAATGATTCAGTGAAAACAAAATCAAGCGAATATTCTATTTTTCCTATATTTTACATTTAACTCGTCAAAAATCAGTGAAAATTAAATCCATACAAAATACCCAAAAAGTCTTTTCAGCAAAAATTAATTCCAGGTAAAATAAAGTATTACACAGTACTTTGCGTTGTCTCTACCCACACATGCATGCATTTGAGTTATGTTTTATCAGAGTTTTTATATACTGTAAAACATGTCTTTTTCGCGAGCATGTCTTTTTTGCAAATTTAGAGAGAGAACTGATTTGCTAATTCAAAATGGCCACCAAACAAAGAAATCAACAATGACAAGAGAGATTTGCTAAATCAACATTTCACTATTACGTCATTTTACCACAATTCGCTAAAATTGCATGCCGCTTTTTCAACATGTTTTACAGTAAGTAAAAACCTGGATATTAAATGTCAAACAAAAAACATGTGAAAGCATCATTATGTCTCTTTTTTGCAATAATTTGCATTGCTTGCAGTTATGAACGGAGCACAAATATTAATTATTAAATACGCTCAGATTAGGTTACAATAATGCATTCCGCATATTAATTACTTCGCTCAGGATTGCAGTGCCAGTGAATTGTTTGTTTTACGAACTATCATTTTGTTGCTCTGCTGCAAAACTTATTGTACTCAATTTTTAATCGTCTATGCACCAGTCAGAATGAGTCGATTAAATTAATGTTATGTCGTACATACATTTTCGCAGATACATTTATTGTTTAAGAACTATTAATACTATAAATGTTATACTTTATATGTATTTTATATGGGATTATGGTTATTTTACACTTATTCTGAAAGTATTATTATTATTATTATTTGGTAGGAATTGGAATATATGTGATTGGTGGGAAATATTTGCAGTTTTGTTCACAGTAATTCTGAATAGAAGTAAATCTTTGTGAATCTATTCGTTGCTGTAAACTATTCAAAAGCTGTCGCGAAGGAAATAGGAAATGAATAGGAAACTGAAACAATAGTTACATTCACAAATTTATACATACAATGTATTACCCACAATTACATCATCAAGTATTATATTGTTCATTGTATCATATTGTTTTTCTGATAAAATTTTTCAAAAATTCCTAAAAATCACAACTCTGAACACTAAAATCAACTTTTCACAAAAAAACTGTTTCCCATATTTTTTTTATCAATTTTGATTGAAATGAGGACTGCTAACTTAACTTCATTAACAAACTCATTTTCATCAAATGAACAGATCATACGCTTGTTAGAAGTAAAGTTATACACAAAGATGTACTTACCCACATAAAATAAAAACTGAATAAAAAATTTCTGATTGAACTCCCCAACACAGTTGTTGATCCTGCAAGACAAACAGAGAACACAAATATTATACAAATATTGTTCAAATTCACCATGGACAATGATGGTCTACTTACACATTTACCATGGACAATGATGGTCTACTTACACATTTACCATGGACAATGATGGTCTACTTACACATTTACCATGGACAATGATGGTCTACTTACACATTTACCATGGACAATGATGGTCTACATACAAACTTACCATGTTCAGTGATGGTCTACATACAAACTTACCATGTTCAGTGATGGTTTACATTTAATTTTACCATGTTCAGTGATGGTCTACATACAAACTTACCATGGGCAGTGATGGTCTACATACAACCTTACCATGTTCAGTGATGGTCTACATACAAACTTACCATGGGCAGTGATGGTCCATTTTTCGTATACATCGTCTACATATTCTACAGTGATGTGCTCTAGGAGGTCGGTACGTTTCACATCTTTGACAAACTGTCCAACTTTCCCCTTCCTGTGAAACCAAAAGTAAAATGAACACCATATCCTACATGTAATAACAGACTTGAGTAAACATTACACATTGCTAGAGGGAATACTACTTGTACCTTCTCTCCCAGCAAGAACAAACCCTCATTATAAAGTTTTGTAGATATAATTTTTCCACATTAAAATCTGTATTACAATAAATTCTAATAAAAAGGTAGAATACAACAGAGGGGATGCAGCATCTATTAGAGCGTCTACACATACATGTATGTGAAATTTTTGGTTCTCAGTTGTTCAAAAAGAATGGGTGCAGCTTCTATTAAGAACACAGACTTTAATACAGATTTTACGATACATAAAAAACCCCAAAACTAAGCATGCAGTAGAGTTATATGTGGCAAGTTAAAACATCTTTCTATTGGTTCTGGAGTTATCCGAATAATTATTGAATTTACATCATCATACATGTTGCATATTTTCTGTTATAATTTACATTTATTAGTCTCCATGGTGATAGTATGCAAATCATGTCAACTATTTGTTTATTCAGTTAACCAAGCATGTTACAAACTGACTGACGTTACATGCTACTCTCTGATTGGTTAGCTGAAAGTGTCACATGAGTACTAGTATTAAACTGTGAGGATTTAGGTAAAAAATAAAATACTGTAGAATACTTTATTTTTGTTTGAAATTTATTTTCACTATTTTCGCTGAAGGATGATTTAGTGAAAATAAAATCCAGCGAATATACTTTTTTTTCCTATATTTCACATTAAACTCATCAAAAATCAGTGACAATAAATTCCATACAAAACGTTCAAAATGCCTTTTCAGCGAAAATTAATTCCAGCGAAAATAAAGTATTCCACAGTACATGAATTTCATGAAGAAATGAATATTTTTTCCATGGAAATTTATAAAATTATTTATTTACTCTAGACAACCCTCAAAGAATATGTTTTCATTGGTTATAGAAGTCATGTGTTAATGTCCATTACCCACAAGTCTTTGCAGATTCTCATCTGTCATTGGTTGATTTACTGCCATGCCCCCATAAACAAATGTTGTGATTGGTCTGGTTGTTTCCAGCCATCATTCATAAACAAAAATTGTGATTGGTCTGGTTGTTTCAAGCCATCATAAAACATTCATAAATATTTCACATAACGAAAAAAAAAAAACATTTATGCCTTTATGAAATTCACTGTAAGGATGAGCAGCAAAGATCAATTTTCAGAGATCTGATAAATGTAAGAGTAAGAATAAGCAGTGTTCCTAATAAACAAATCCGGCAACGAGAAATACATGTATCTACATGGAGGAAGTTTGAGTGAAGGTTTCCCAAAATCTTCAGCTATTTCAGTTTCATAATAGTTCTCTGAAATATTCATTATACATGTATGTATATCTACAGAATAAATTACACATGTTACAGGGCACCCAGCTTAAAGCGTTCAAAGCAAATGTTAATTTGTTATTCTTCATAAAATAAGTTTCTATAATTTTTCTCATATTTTTATTATCAATATCGAAATCCAATGTAAAAGTATGTCTATTTGCTTCACAATTAGCAAAGAAATTAACAACAAATAATAAATGAACACGTAACAATGCACCAACATTATAGTAAGAAATATTAACTGAGTGATTTGAGAGATTTCAGTGGCTCTATTGTGCTTTATGATTTAATGGTCAGATTGGTTCAATATGAATTTACAAAACCAATAATTAGACAGATGAGGGTATACCATGTAAAGCAGGTTTTTATTGTCAAAACGCTTTGCAGCCATATTTCAGATTGCAGCCTAGCCTAGTCATGCATATCATTAGTCATTCTTGCCCAGCACTAGCAGCAACCATGCACCCAACACCATGTAGAAATGGGACATTTGGCACACCTACAGAATGTCTACTCGGTCATTTAACCTACAAGGTATTTCAGATTCCTACAAATCGGGAAATAAATACAAACTTTCACAGTAAAACGATTTGTTTGGGCAATATTAATCCAACTGCATTCAAAATTCCGCCAAATTTGTTTTTTTTTGTGTGGAAAAATCCCTTGCATACAAACACCTAATTACACGAAGAACATAGAAAACTTCAGGTTTTTGAAACCAAAATTGTCATCAATTTAGAAGCCAATTCAAACATCCCAGGAAAGTGAAATTAGGTGTTCCTATGCAGGAAATTTATGCCTTTGCCAAATTTTGTTAGCTGCAAACTTAATAATATTCCAACCAATAGCTTGGTTGTAAAAGTTTGTTATTTTTTCTCTGATTTGTGGGAAACTGGAAAACCCATTTATCAACTTGTCTTGTTTCAAGTCATAATTCAAGATGGCTCATAGAATAAATATCTGTAAATTGATTGCTTTTATTTTATTATCACTTGTACGCCAGCTGACTGCGCACTAACAATAGAGCAAATATAGTTGAGTTTCACAAAAGTAGCCTTAACACCAAATCCATGCAGAGAATTATCTCACCGATGTTGCTAGGCAACACAAGGATGAGAATATATTTTATTGAGTTAACAAAAAATATTAAAGTTTATCTCAGTATAGGCTTCAGAGACTATTTTTTTTTAAACAAAAGTCCAAATTTTCCTTAAAAAATAGCAAAATTCTCATTTATCCCTATTTCCTGGATTAGTTACCATGGTATCAAATTTTGAAAAATAGCCACGAGATACATATACTGTTCTGGATATGAAATTGTTTTTTTTTTAAAAAATTGAAATTTAATATGGTGCCTCTCTATTTGTGAAATACATCCAAGTGAAATATATCTCCCATGATGCATTGCACATTTGCCCAGTAATGCAACATTTGAATTCATCTCAGATTTCTTTTTAGTGAAACTGAAGATCATCTTAGTCACGCTAGGGAGAAAACATCACAAAAATAGAAATCTGAAGATCTATAAATTACCATGTGATCTTATAACCTGATTTGTACAGATTAAGTGAAGCTCACATTTTCACAGCAAGTCTCAGAAGTATTGGGACAGTGTTTTTCCAAATTTTGTTGACACATGTTTTTTGATGCTTGGCTTTTTAAAAATTGCTGGCACCAACTTGTGGTTAAGCCCAATTCAGATAAAGCTATATTACACCATGAGCCAACAATTGCTTTCAGTTTCACATTTTATTGAATCGTTGATCCAACCTATTTACCGGTATTAACAATGAAAGTGAGTTTGAAAATAGCTACTGTAATGTCAATAGAAATGTACACAACAATGTACACGCTCCATTTTGAATATACCCTTTCTGATTCATCCATCTTAAAAACAATCCTTGAAAAAGTGACCCTCAGGCAAGATTGTGAGCCAGCTGGCACTGTCAAGTCTAGGATAAGCTAACTGTTTATATACAAGTTCCAAATTGTTGGGCGATTTGTGAGAATTGAAAAGTTTTGCCAAAGCTGACCATCCATGGCCATCCCTACAAACCTGTGCATGGTCATGTTAGGAAATGCTGCATTTGACCTCAGTTGAATTGAATGATTTGATTGGTGTGCTCAGGAGCTAGCTCTGTCACTCAGCGTTCCTGTGAAAATAACCTGCGTCAACTTCAAATTTAAATAAATAGATCTGCTTTATACGCTATACATCATAGCCTAATTTACAAAAACATTTGACTTTTTGTTCTCTTTACCAATGAAATTGAGGCACCAGAGCACACACATTGCATTTCATTTCATAACCAATGAATACAGGTTTATAATGTGAATTCTACCAAGATATGTAATGGTGAGGCAATAGTTGAGTAAATGAATCATGTCAGATTTTTGTGAGTGTGTTTGCCAATTTGTTGTCACAATACTTGTAGAACTTGCTGTAATGTCATATTATGGGATGGGGAAACTGCATGCATTTAATTTTCACCGATTTACATATTTATTGACGTTTTCAGATAAATCTTCTTCCGTACCTCATCGCTACTGTGATCATGATGCTATTTAAATTCAAACATGAAGCAAAAAAACAAAACAAAGAAGCAAAAAAAAAATAAACAGAATGAAATAACAACTTCGTAATATACGACATACGTGTAGCATTGCCATGGCAAAGATGAGTGCAAAAAAGGTCACTCAGAATATTGTATTGATTTTATCTGTAATCATTCAAACCGCTGTTTATCAGTAAAAATGACTGACAGGCTTTCAATAATCTATACCATATCTAGATTACAGTGACACTAAATTGTTGTGTACCAGTATGTATACAGTATTTGTTCTATTCTCGGAGAGCAGAGCTACATCACAGAATGCTCAACGTTGCTAAGACGTGCACCACTGTACCATGTATTTCTATGGGCTCTGCATGAGCTACTATGGATTATCGATAAAAAACAGTGAAAACAGCACAATTCATCAGACGATCCTGAACAACCAAATTAATTATATTTTGCACATGTAGTAGTAATCTTGTTAAACTGTCCAGGAGAGTCACAACAACTAACTTTGAGAGTTTTGGCTGTTTTTTCACCAGCTGGGGATGTCAGGCACAAGCCAGATTGTATTATATTGTTTGCTAGATCATCTACATCTACAAGTGCATGTGATTTTAATACTAATAGTGCAGAAACTAATAGGATATATGGAAACAAATATAAAATATTGTAGTTCTCGAATCAAATTTAATTACATGCATTGATACATTTTGACATGGCAATAGTGAGGTTACCATTTTTTATGTGAATAATGGTGACTTTATGAAATGTTTGTTACCAGGGAAACAAGGACAGGCAAATGCAATCACCTGTCCCAGGGTAATTTATGCATCAACATTCCCCAAGGTAATCCTTATCTTTAGCATGCGCTAAGGCTACCAAGCTAATTTAAAATTAATAAGTGTCAATGTTTTACCAATGTTTATCATCATCAATTGGCCCTACCACACGATATACAAAGTCAGAGTATTCAATATTCAAACTTAGTACATGCTTTGAGACACATGTACAGTATTTGAGAAAACAGCATTGCCAAGAATGACGTACATGTATAACTAAGAGACACATTTTACCCCTTAAATCTCCAACTAATTCACTAGATGACATGAACCTTATTCCCAACAAGAATTAAAATTGTCCCACAATGCATGTACAGATGCATGATGGGATGACGTTACATGTACCTCATGTTCATCCTTGGTAGATTGTTGGCAATGGGGATAGAGTAAGAGTCGATGATATGGAAAGGCAAGAGACTGAACAAGAATATAAGAATGTTGAAATACAGTTAATCATTTTATGCAGATTTATACACAAACTGATGAATGAACTGAACATGTGAAATGTTTGGATAGTGTGTACATAGTAATTTCGTTTGTGGAGATGCGATATTTATAATTAAACTGCACTTTCTAAATTCCAATTTTCTTCCTACCATTGTTGTATCAACTATTAAATAAACATAACATGGAGAATATGTGAGATAGTGGTACCTAAACAACAAGTAAGTTAGTTTTTGGAACATTAAAAATTCATTTTTTTAGCCGTCGAGATATATTATTTGCTGTTCCCTAAATGGGATTCATTATTTGTTTTAAATTGACAATAAGGAAAATACAGCTCATGACACTTTAAGAAGTTTTCTGTGATGAACATGTCTGATATTCTCAGTTTATTTTCAGTACATTGCCATAGTTACAGCCTGATCAACTGTGCTTTTGTTTTGACATACAAAATGACTGTAGACGATAAAATACAAGAAAATACAGACATTTAACCTTTGACCTTTGTGTGCCAAAGACAACTTTTGTCCCCTTTTCACAAATTTTAAATCCACATCATTTTTTTTTTTTCAGAATTTTGGTCAAGACTTGTAGGCAATAGAAACACATAAAAAATGGCAAAATGCTATACCAAACGTTTGTCGGAAAAAAGGTATGCCGTTCAAAAGGTTAAACGACAAACAGAATATTGGAATATTGAATTGTTCAAACAAAATTTTTAGCTAAGGTTATAAATTTATCATATGTGACATAAAACCATACAATTATTTTCAAATATTACAACCCCCTGATTGGAAAAACCTGTTTTTTTTTTTTATTTTGAATTTGTGATGCGTCATCTCTTAAAATGACAAAATATAAGCTCTTTTTGTGACTACCGGTAATAACATTTATTTTGTAATAATTGTTTGATATCAAAAATCTGAACGTTTTCCCAATACAAAATGTATTACACATTATCTATTTCTGTCTTGAAGGTGAATATTGGAAATTAATTTTCCCAACCTCATTTTCAGACACGTAAGATTCATTTCGCTAAAGGAAATGGCTATTGTATTGAAGTGAGAGGGTGTCACCTGCGCACGTGCGGGAATTGAGTCCCAATCGATGATAACAACACATGCTAAGAACACAAATGCTCATGGGTAGACGCTTGTTTGTAAATAATGACACGCTATGGCCGCCTGACGCATGCTTAGGTGACGACTTTCTCGCTTTAAGTGTGAATCGGTAGAATTAGCAGAGTATTGTCCGCCTCACCAGAGATCATTGCAGAGATTCTATTGTTTATAAGAATAGTCAATTTCCCCCAGAACTCTCTCAGACCTCTGAAAGAATACTGCAAAACATCAACTTCAAGCGTATTTGTTTTTTTATAAATTTATTGACATATATGTCTCGAATGATTTTTTCAGAATGAATAAAGTTTTTTCTGTTTTGGTTAATGCTTTCGTTATTATTTTTGCATGACATACATTTGGCAACTGATGGCTTCTGATCAACTATATATAAGCCGATTCAGATAAAAATAAACTATAAATAAATTATCCTGAATTTTTGTTGATCCTTCATCAAAAGGGTGTACAACGTAGTGATAACGCCAAAACCATTAATTTTTAATTTCATAATTTCTAAAAAAACCTCCAGGTCTGAAGTAGAGACAATGGGCATAAAAAATGAAATAAAAATACCGGATTTAACAATCTAGCAAGAAATATATTTACTGCTCAGATATGAAATCACAAGTGAGAAAATTCGTCTCAAAATGCCATTAGAGGATTACTCTTTAATTTGTATATTTCAAATGAACAATCCACAAAAAGAAAATCTACACTGGCAGTTTTTTACAGAATAATTCCAAAGTGTTTTACCTCGTATGTAAAACTTACCAGAGTGCAGTCAAATAGTGGACAGTCATGATCATAGAGTTCTCATATTATCAAATTACAAAATGTTTGCAATTTCTCACACTTATTTCAAAGAATGTACCTATGAATGCAAGATTACCATGGCAATGAAGGAGACAGATGATTATTACTAACGGGCTAGGGGGCCTCGAAGAGAAAGCATGTTATTTATGTTTCAACTTTTTTTTTCGGTTTACTGGCACCAAAAACTATAGAGAAGATAGTCTTTGCTGACACCCACCTCTACTTCAACATATTTAATATTCAAATGCTAACAGTATTTATACGGTATTCAAAATGCTCACCTTATCAAAGATCTTTTTAGGTGTCTGGCCAGCACGGACATCAGAGAAGTCGATTGCTGTTGATGGCAGTGGAACTATTCCTACCAAGTATAATTAACATAATTATTAGCATGTATACATGTACAATGATGTTACCATTTGCAACAATGTCAACGCTCAGATATGATTGGTTAAAAAGGACAGACATGCAATACATAAACCAGAGTTATCAAAATCATATATATATATAGTGCTTTTGATCAATAAATGATAAATAGAGTCAGGGTTCTGCCCAGCCTGATTGGTCGTTAATTAATATTCATGTGCTCATTAATATTCATGAGCTAATTAATATTCATTTCATTCTACTTTAATTAATTTAAATATTATTTTAAATATTTCAATGTATAATTAATCTGCTTTGCTGAAAAGGGAATATAGATACACTTTGCAATCACGTCTAAAATACATGTTTTGAGACATTGACCTCTGACCTGGCAGCCATTTTTTTTTTCAAAGCATTTCATCCGTTTGTTAGGGCAAGAGTTGAAACAAGAATTTAATGTGTTTTCTTTTCTAATGTAATGCTGGTAAATCACATTAATAGTGGGAAATAAGTATTCCTCGTATCGCTGACTGAATATAGCTTATGATTTCAATTTTATGAAGACTTTTATTAAGTCATGAAGCCAAAAACATCAACGAAGCTTACTACACTCGAGTGCAAGAGTAGATTAAACGAACGACATGTGCAATGTCAGCGACATGTGCAATTTTTTGTTCAACTCAACAAATCCTACAAAGAATTAAACTGCATTGGTAAACCTTCCTTCTGTTTACTTATTAATCACTGTCTTCCCTCTGGCGTTTGAGCTGTCACACATAAGAAGCATGTTTTGCAATACAACAGTAATATTTGTTATTTAAGTTATGAATGTATGGCAGCAAAATGAACGCATTGGCATTTACGTCCAGAGAGCATATTTGATTGGACCACGTGTGTTATAGAAAGTGTTGTTAGAACGGCTAGCATGACCCTCACTTTAGATTGATGGATTATACTAGTTCATAATGTTCCTCATATTCATCACCTACACAAACAATGATAGCAGGTGATAACCTCATTTATTTATTTACTTTACTCATATGTTTATTATCTTTCTCATAATTACTTATTGAAAAATTAAACACGACCACCATACTAACTTGTCAAGTGCATTTTGCAATTGGTAAGTGTGTACAATCCATATGTAGATCTAAATCTAGGGCAAATATAACATTCTTACCTGGGTCTGAGAAGACAGCTCTTGCATGGGACATTAAAATCAAAAATACCAAGACATTAAATAAAACGGCATTAAATCCTCCCCATAAACTGCAAGTAAAAAAAAAAATTTGATCAAATGTGATAAGAATAGGTAATTTTTCTTTTACTCTGAGATCTCACGTAATGCGTAAAAGGTGCGAATCGAAAGTCTACTGAAAAAACTATTTGATTTTGAACTTTTTATAGCTTATTGTCAAAACACAAATTTTTAGAATGCGATATGGCATTGAAATATCCTTGCTTCATCAAAATTATCTATCACCATATTTTAAATGTGTATAGTGCATTATTATTACATCTGTCATCGTAACGCCACAAGTTACAGCGAAGTGAGAAATTTTGTGGTATTTTACGGGGTATTTTTATTCTACCATATAAGGGAATGCGAATTCCAAATATGGAATGATTACGAGCGTGACGTCCTCTAATAATAAAAACAAACATGGCTGCCACCAGTATGATGTATCCTTGGAAGGAAAAGATGTATATTAAGGTTATTATTACGAGAATTACCTCAAAGTATGCACTCAGACAGTACACCGTCGCATTTACCTCCGCTGTGCGTGGGTGGATACTCTCGCTGTACTGTCTTCGTGCATACTTTGAGGTACATCCTCGTAATAACTTCATACATGTATTATTAAGTGTGGAAATACACCAAAATAGTTTTGTGTTTGTCAAATCCCATGCTACATGTATGTTCTGATGCCATTACTATAAAGGGGTTAATAATTCACTGGGTTTTAATTTTGCTTATTTCGCTGACAGGAAATTGCGCTAAATTAAAACCCAGTGAATACGTAAAATTGAGCATAGCACACATTATCTAAATGATAATACCGTAAATTTAAAACCCACCAACTATGCCTGAAATGGTAAATCAGCAAAATTTAAACCCAGTGAAAATTAGTCATTTTACAGTATAACCTTGTTTGTCCTGTTTTTACCTTTAATATCATGCGAGTGAATGGAAAACTTTCTACTGTGAATAAGTTATTACACAGTGACTTAAAATTGTAACAATAAAGTATTCCTTAGCGTCCATGTAGCGACCACCGCCGACCAGCATGGCGAGATGATCCCTGGTAGGTATAATAAAATAATAATAAGGAATTCTCTCATTCAACATTACATAGTAATCTCAAAGAAATAACTTACTTTCAAGCTGGCCGGTTTTGCTCTTTTCATAAAATGTATTATTATAATATAACTTTTTAATAATACATGTATAATACATGTACATACCAATATTCAATAAGATTACTCTATTGCTCTATTACAAAATTTAGATATGTAGCAGTATTTAAGCATGACAAACCAACCTAAAACAGCTTAAAACCAGTTTTAAACCAGCTTGAAAACAGCTTAAAACGAACTTTAAACCAGCTTAAAAACAGCTTAAAACCAGTTTTACACCAGCTTAAAAAAAGCTTAAAACCACCTTAAAAACAGCTTAAAACCAATTTTAAATCACCTTAAAAAGAGCTTAAAACCAGTTTTACACCAGCTTAAAAAGAGCTTAAAACCAGCTTTAAAACAGCTTGAAAAAAGCTTAAAACCATTTTTAAACCAGCTTGAAAAGAGCTTAAAACCATTTTTAAACCAGCTTGAAAAGAGCTTAAAACCACCGAGATGTTAAGTTACGCTTGGGGCAAACAGCATTTGCTTTCATTCAAAGTGCATTCAAACTCATTTCAATTATCATACATGTACCACAACAACAAAAGTAAATCCATTCCAGATTATTAACATTTGAACACTTTGTTTCCATCAAAAGCAACAACAATATAGAGTGTGACGAAAATAGAATTCATCACTGAACAAAAAAAAAGTCGCACAGACATGAATATCGTAAATTAATTTTGGGCTGTTATTTTTCACTAAATTATGACTAATTGTACAAGCAGGAAAGAAATATTTACAGTTTTATCATTCAAATATGGCAAAAAATGTACTCAGTATGCATAATACGACACACAAATAATTTGTATCCAAGAGAATTAAGAAACAAATATTACATGTTGCAAAAACTTGACATACACATGTACATTGATGAAGGTATGGATCACGTTTATTAAAATTACATTTGCAATTAACCACATCACACATCAAACCAGCGTCAATTTCAACAAAACACAACATGTAACTACACGTATGTGGCAAAAAAAAAATAATACTAAAAAAAGCATATACCGGTAAATCATAATATTCTCTCAGTAAATGTGGAAATAATACATCAAATGACTTCAATGAACACGAGGTGCCATTTAGTTTCAAGAAGAATCATTCTTGGGTTCATAGTCACCACATATAAAAATATCATGATTGACCTGAAGTCTGATTGGATACTGTAAAATGACTAATTTTCACTGGGTGAAAAATTCGTTGATTAACCATTTCAGACATATTCAGTGGGTTTTAAATTCATGGTTTTATCATTTACTGAATGCCTTCTATGCTAAGTTTTACATATTCACTGGGTTTTAATTTAGCACATTTCCCAGTCAGCGACATAAGCAAAATTAAAACCCAGTGAATAATTAATCCGTTTACAGTATTAATAGTGATAGTTGTTATGTGTGGTACAGCCTTTGATGGCCAGAGGATCTCAGTTTCATAATTTTGAATTTCTTATTGCATTTAAATTATCCTTATAACAGATAACATATTTTCTGAATGTTCGTCTTGTCGTTATTTTTGACCAGAAATTCATCGCATCACCAGTCACTAGTTGCGTTCACGCACAGCTCCTTAGCACGGGCTAAGAGGTCAAATTCCTTAGCCCGTGCTAAGAAAACGTGCGTGAACGCTTAGCACGGGCTAAGGAATGCTAAGTACGGGTTAAATCTGATCTGAATTTAAGACGCGGTCTAGACCTTAGCACGGGCTAACGAAGTATGCGCGAACGCTTAGCCCAGGGCTAAGCGCCGTCTGCGGCGACCTTTGGGTGTCAAAATTGTCCCATGTTCGTATAACGACACGATTCCACCAGTCATTACTCTGAGCTCGCTTCCACACTAATCGGGTCACTGTAGTAGTAGAGCGTACAGCAGCTCCAATCGTAGACAAAAAAAATTTGGTTCGCTGTCTGCGACATGCATTAATAAAACTCTGTATTCTGTTACGTCCGTTGTATACTGTTTATGTGCATCCAAATAAGTTGGGTCAGTCTTCTCTCGCGTTCCTGTGCACGTCGCTTCAAAATTAGAACCTCGCGCGTGTCATCCATTTTTCGTTCGTAAATAGCGGCTTACCAAAGGTCACCGACTAATGGCACCCCTTAGCCCGTGCTAACGACTGGCCCTCCCTGTGCGTGGACGCAATTGGGTCTAGCCGAAATGCAAATATGCTAGATAAGCCTAAAACAGCTTAAATCTTAGCCCGTACTTCGTGTAACGTGAACACAACTACTGTTGCGCTAAATCTGTCAATATTTGTATTTAAAAAAAAAGGTTAATCAGTATTCTGTTAGTTAACTATTATGCCAAACTGCAATATACGAATAATTAAAATCCGTGCATTGTATTTATTACATCACATTTTAATATACGATTAATTAAAACAAGCAGCCTCTCGGCTGAGATATCTCCGCTGTTATTAATGCACACTTCAATTAAAGAACAGAAGATATCATTAGAAAATGAACAATATGCATAGTATCAATGCAATGGGACTTGCCGTTTTCAACAAGAATTCAAAAATATCATTTTTCACCATAAATGATTGTGGTTTTTAACAAGAAGAAAATATCACTTTTTACCAAAAAATGACAAAAATATTCACCAAAATTAGAAAATTAAAGATATCCACATGAAATGAAAAAATTTCAGAATGGTCCACATGTAGTACCTATATATGTAATATCAAAGCAATTGGACTTGCGGTTTTTTAACATGAAGCCGAAAATATTACTTATTACCAAAAATGACAAAAATATTCACCAAAATTAGAGAATTGAAGATATCATTACAAAATGAACAAATCTGAGAGAGATCCACATATAGTAGGTATATATGTAATATCAAAGCAATTGGACTTGCGGTTTTTAACAAGAAGTCGAAAATATCACTTTTTACCAAAAATGACAAAATATTCACCAAAATTAGAGAATTGAAGATATGATCATGAAATGAACAAATCTGAGAGAGGTCTACCCAAGGTACATAAACACCAAGTATCAAAGCATTCAGGCTTGTAGTTTTCAAGAAGAAGTCGAATAAGTAAAACATTGACACGGACGATGGACGCCGATGGACAATCACTCATATGATAAGCTCCGCTCGACAAAGTCGACAGCGAAGCTAAAAAACAAAAAAACAAAATAAAAAAATCTGTCAATGCCAGAATAAATCATGGCAAATGTTTCCTTATTTGTTTTTATTTGGAAAAATGAATCACTACTTATTGAACCAATCAAAATGTATCCTTTCCATTCGTGCACCGTAAATAAATAATTTTCTTGTGTACACTAATAATTCAGCTTCTTCAAAAAAGTATTTAATAGATTTTACGATAAAAGTACATACCGGTATATGTTGGTTTTTGTGATTATCTTGCAGCGTGAATTTATAATGAGATCTTTATCGTATATCACATCTGTTGCATACCCTCGCTTATAAATCATTATTATTACACATCTTTTTCAGTTTGTTATAATAATTTAGTCTGGTCTAACTAACCAAAATGACAGAAAAATAACAAAAACATATTTTTTATGACTCAATTATGTATGAGATAATTTACATTCAAAACAATTACATTTCTATCAAATGTGATATTGTTGCTGCAAATCGCTGTTACCGAAAAAATGCATGATTTTTTATAAAAGACTAAATTGCATGTAAATTCAAGTTTTTCAGAAAAAGGCTCAACACATTTATTTTTTTACATGCATCCGTCTTCCAAGGTTTCAACTACTTGTGATTGCAAGGCTAAAAAATCACCATTTTCATGGACAAGTTACCATGTTCTGCATTCAGTGACTATATATATTTATCAGGATTTTGTGAACATTATCATAAACCATAAAACCATCTTTTATAAGGAAATCTGATCACCTGTTTTCAAATTATTGGTAGCTATCTCCCTTAAGGGAAAAGTACCTTGCCTATGTCAGCACAAGTTTTGACGTGTTATTAGTCGATTGTGTTAGATTCATAAAAAAAGGATTATTGTGTAACTATGACAACAGCTATGACATCAGTTAGAAAAAAATGAAACATGTTGCTAAATATCAAACACCAATAGAGCGTAACATCCTGGCTGCTCAACAGTGGAATATGTTTTAAGCGAGTTTTTTCATTAAGAGATGATGTCCATTTCAGTTGAATAACATTTCTGTCCATGTTATTTGTAAATTTACTTCATATTTATTTCTTGAACGCATATTATGAGGTTATCCCAAGAATAAAATTTGAATTTGAGTGCTGATAAGTTTAAAAAAAAATTTTGATTCTATTGTTTTCAGTGTATAATACCAGATAATGTGTTTTATTCACCAGATTATAATCGGTATTTTCTCTAATTTTGAATTAATAAAGACAAGCGATGCATGGCACAGTCCCTGTTAGTTATCGAATTTAGGATATATAGTTTTGTTTATAGTAATATAGCTGAAATATAACCATGTCAGGAATATGATTATGATGATTGTTTAACATTAAAATCATTGACATTTGTATCTGATTGTCAAACGAGTCCTTGTCCATATTGAGAGATATTGTCCTGGAACAGCATTAATTAAAACAAAATCAGCCTTTTTGAATACATATATATATCTATAACATGATGTATAATGAATATATAAAATTTTAACATAATCAGTCAAAGCATGTCAGAGATATGGCTCCAGAATCCCATTCATTAAAACAAAATGACCACCAGTCAGCCATTTTGAATCTGATCTGAAAAATAAAATGACATGCATCAGGAACCCGTAATGCCTAATGTATGTACCAAGTTTGAACAAAATCCATCCATAAATGCCAGAAATGCTTGATCTTTATGATTTTTTAGCACAAAAATGGCCACCATTCAGCCATTTTTAATAGGATCAGTCAGTCGGCTATTTTGAATCTTATTTTTCAAAATCAAAATGATGTGAATCAAGGTCCTATAATGACTAATGTATATACCAAGTTTGAACAAAATCCATCTGTAAACAGCTGAGAAATGCTTCATTTTGATGAGTTTTCAGTACAAAAATGGCTACCATTCAGCCATCTTGAATCAGATCATGAAACAAATTGATATGCATATGTATAATATTATGAATGATGTATGTGTGAAGTTTGAATGTAATTGGTCCAGGCATGTCTAAGATATAGGTCCGGATGCATGCACAGAGGTCAATCCATAAGTCCCTGTTTTCGGACTGCGTCCAAGTGGGGACTGAAAAGTACAAATGGTGATTTATATTGTCTACAAATTAGCTTACATGGAAGTAATGCCAAATGGGACATATTTTGTCAATGTTTAAAAATTATGATAACATATATTGATTTGATCACATTTTAATTGAAAAATTTGCATGCTGGTGTTAATTTCATACAACAGATGGTGAAAGATCTTGGAATTAATTTTCATAATTGCAAACACTATATATGTATGGTAAATATCATCAGTAATTATTTTTCAGACATAGGGTATCTGTGTATCTTCATACTAGTAGCATGATCAATACGACCCCCATGATTTCACTGTGCAATCTAGGTTTTAAGCCAGCCACCTGTCTACCTGTCATTTTAGATAGTCATTCCACATTTAAGACAGGTACTAATTCTCTTTTGACAGGCTAATTCATTCCAAACCTGTCCGAATTTTCATTGAAAATTCCCTGTAAATTACAAAATAACCATAAAAAATATAAAAAAATGATTGTAAGTCAGGTTACAGACTAGGCACTTTCAATTTTCTGCTACATGTATAACCCTACTGCAATCATAGGAATTTACCAGTGTATCATCAGAAAAATATGAATGCAGAAAACAAAAAATTTAACATAATGTATGTCAGTATTTTGTAAAGCAGCAATTAATGGCAAGGAATTATGCTCCCATGACACACACCTTATGTGTTATTCATCATAAAATGATATTCATAAATGGATTCGGCTGAGACTCAGATACAGATACATTATGTCTACTTAATACACTCTTATATTAAAGTAGCATACAGTTATTGTAACTTCAGACTCAAACCTAGAATTTATTTATTTATTTATTTATTTATTTATTTATTTATTTATTTATTTATTTATTTATTTATTTATTTATTTATTTATTTATTTATTTATTTATTTATTTATTTATTTATTCATTCATTCATTCATTCATTTATATAAATAATATAAAATAAAGAAAAAACACATATACTGCATGTCATGCAAACAAAACTAAAAAAAAAACAGGATAAAACACTCACAGCTTTATACTTGTGAAAGCAATTGTGCCACAGTTCAAATCAAATTAAATGATGGTAGCTGTCGCGCCATGCATGCACAAAATATACATGTATGGGTCTCATATAAACAAAGATGGCGACTTTGACTATTGCGCAGATCAACGAGTACGAACTGAGACGTTACCAAGCCTTAATTAGGTATTTTTTAGGTGATTGGAATGTATCAAAGGTGTCACCGGCAGTAATTTGTGCAAGTCACACCCCGGGTCAAACCCTAATGTTGGGATTACTGTTAGAAGAATGCATTGGATTGAGTGAAAATAAATGTTTGTCAACACAAATGTCGCACATGTAAAGCGCGATGACAACCACCTTTTAACAAGAAATCTTTGAAATCTAATTCTCTGTATCTTTGAAATGATGTATAAATTAAATAATACTGTAAAATAATTAATTTTCGCTGAAAAGACTTTTCGGGTGTTTTGTATGGAATTTATTTTCACTGATTTTTGATGAGTTGAATGTAAGATATAGGAAACAATGTATTCGCTGGATTTTATTTTCACGGAATCATTCTTCAGCGAAAATAGCAAATATTAATTCCAAGCGAAAATAAAGTATTCTACAGTATTTGATTCAACAGTGATCATGTGACAACAACTGGAGTGCGTTCAATAAGGAAATCATTCAAAAGCACCCTGAATGTTTTTCTATTCGATCAGTTTTGTACATGCTCTACATAGTGTAGCTACTGTACATGTAACAAAGCTATGAGGGAAAAATTAAAGAAAGGAAAAACGGGGATGTAATATTGTAAAACATGTTGAAAACGTGACATGCAATTTTAGCGAATTGTGGCAAAATGACGTAATAGCAAAATGTTGATTTAGCGAATCTTTTTTGTCATTGTTGATTTCCTGTTTTCACAATACTTGTCTGTCGCATGTCAAAACAAATGCGCAGTTATCACCTCCATAAAAACAAAGAAAAACTGTCAAGTGTAATTTGACTCTGTTCGGAATGATAAAAAACTGATTCAACAGAGATTTGAAAAAGCGGGTATCGTTGCTGCGTTACATCCAGAACATTGAACTTTCATATTTGGACTAAAAAATTACAGTTTGGAGGCGTGGCCTGTCAACAACCAATCATAAGACTATTTACGAACCACATCGAGGTTCGCCTTGCTCAACTGGTTTGTAACAAGTCTTGTGATTGGTTCTTCGCCTCCAATTGTGCTGTGCGTTCGGGCAAACCGTTAAGTATTTGTAAATAGAGTAAATTTCTTGATTTATTCTGCAGATATCGGTAAAATATTGGTAAGGCTTTGGCGAAATTTGAAAGAGCAACTAATAATCTTCAACCTGGTATTTTTTATAGATTTTATTTTTCATTCTGTTCGTCTGTTTTTTCCAGTTTAAAAAATATAAACTGGCTGGAGCCTTCATCCTTTGTCTATTTTTTACACTTTTTTAGCTACCAGCCGATACCCCCCCCCCCCCCCGCGCTCATAGGAAGTGCGTACAGTTGATCATAGTTTCTGGGTTCCCTGTAATATTGGTTGTTATTATATTCGAGTAAAAAGTGTATTAGGATGGACACCTGGCATTTTGTACAGAGGGACTGTGGTTTAAAGCAAGGAAGTCATCATCCTGTGCATGCATCAGATACCAATAGCTTGTCATTGTTTATAAACAAGCCTCTACCCATGAGCCTTTGCGTTTTAGTGTGCGTTGTTATCGTCGCTTGGGACTCAATTCCCGCGCGTGCGCAGGTGACGACCCTCCCGCTTTAATGAATACGAATAAGGTAGGAATGACTGGAATCGATTTAACTTTATATCTTCTGAAAATAATAACAGTTAAATAATTCAATCGATTTTATTTTTTTATTACAGACTACAATTAATCATACATTATGAGTCATAATTACAATTCCCATAAAATAATAGTAAGTATACTAATACACCCACTCACACCAATCACCTACATTAATTTCAGTATTCTGAAAGATCAGAGCACTACAAATTTAAATTTGGAAAGAACACTTACCTGCCAGATAACGATGGTATAATTAGCCACTCAATGACGACATAATCTGCGTAAAAGACGGCTGTGTACGTCAAAACAATGCAAGTGATACCACAAGGATCGTTTCGGAACACCACCATTTTGGATGACGTAAAAATAGCCCACCTAAGCTTGTAGAAATATTAAACAGATCGACCCTATTCGTCAAAACAACAGCACAGTGCACAGAGTGGACAGAGGTCATCCAGGAAGAGAGAAGTAAAACGTCTTCGTTTTCGTGTATGGGCAACGGGCAGATGACGATCTATTTCTGACTTACAAGACAATGGTTATTTCAAAATATCTGCTAATGGATTATCTCTGGAACTCAAAGTCGTGCTAACGCGACCTGCCTTTTCCCTCTGTTAATGATTGACTAAGTGAGTCATGGTAGCAGCGATCTAAAGACAGTAAGGACATGGAAATTACGCATAGATACATTTGAACTGAAGAGAAACCGAATAACGCTTTTACCATAATGTGAGTGTACGTGTATTCGTGTTTTACGTTTTCATATGACGTCGCCAGAGTAACCACGGCTTACTATATTACTAATATATTATTTTACACCCCGTACACGCAGATGTGGTAACACAGTATTATTTGTGGGATCATCCGTAGTGGCCGGAAAGGTTGGTGATCATTGGCCTTTGACCTCTTACCCTAAGTTCCGGTCAATGTCATTCTCCACAACTCCGATTCACAATCAATTACTGTAGAATCCTTTATTTTTGCTTGGAATTTATTTTCGCTATTTTCACTGAAGTAATGATTCAGTGAAAATAAAATCCAGCGAATATACCTTTTTTCCTATATTTTACATTAAACTTGTCAACAATCAGTGAAAATAAATTCCACACAAAACACCCAAAAGGTCTTTTCAGCGCCATTACCTTACAATATTGTGAAGGGTAATGTCTATTTCTATGTTGGTGTTCAGGGTGTTGTCAATCTCTCTGCACATATGTGTGCCAGTTTGTATCCACGCCCCCCATATGGATGGTACAAAACGTATACTTCCGGAGGGTATAAAATAATGTAAATGAATTTCACAGGGTGATGATTTTACTACGGGCTTCCGAAGGGTTGGGTTATTGCAGTTTGTATCCGCAACTTTTTTTTCTGTTCTGGGCCTCCCCTAGGGGTCACTGTAGTAGATTCATTCAGTTAGATGTTAAATCCGAGGGGGAAATTTTGGACTGTTAATGTCATGGGGTATATTTAGGGGAATGATCATCCATGGGGATATTGGCAAAAAAATGTTTTCCGGCATGCTGAAACACCGTTGTATATTTCCAGGGAAGAGTTATCAAAAACTAATCTGAGGGGTAAATTTTTTACTATAACCATCCATGTAGGGGGTGTAGATACAAACTGGAATGACCCATTGGGATAAACAAGACAATTAAGCTTGATGCAAATAAAATACAATCGGAATGTGCCACACGTCCTTAATTAATTAATTAATTAATTAGTTAATTATTAATTAATTAACCCATAATCATGAAATATGAATAACTTGATTTGACATTGACATAATGCAAAGTGTGATACAATAAACGATTAATTAATTAATTAAACCATAATCATGAAATATGAATAACTTGATTTGACATTGACATTGACATAATGCAAAGTGTGATACAATAAACGATTCAGGGGGTTCAGGTTTCGGGGTCAAGCTGGTGCTATTGAAAGCGCGACCACGATTACATGTAGATTGTTTGGGTTTTGTTGTGCATATTGGACAAATTAGTATCGAGCTAACCCAATTATTCAGACAAATCGATATTGGAGTGGATAAACATGCGATACGAATTGACTTCGAGATGAATAAAATCTTTAATTATCTAATTTTGATGAATATTTTTGTCATTTTTGGTAAAAAGTGTTGTTGTTTTTTAATTCTTGTTGAAAACAGCTAGTTCGATTGCTTTGATACTATACATATTGTTCATTTTTTAACGATATCTTCAGTTTAATTGAAATGTGCATTGCTACAAAAAAATGTATCAGCAGCGCTATCTCAGTCGACAGGCTGCTTGTATATACTCCATACAGAAGTATATAAACATTCAAAATACTCCATCCCACAATTTTGTCTTCATGATCATCTTTGAAGTTTGTGAACATTCCTAATAACAATATAATGATTTACATCCTGTGGTTGTTATCGGTTACCATGACTACCATGACTGGGTAATGAGCGTCACTATATAAGGCATGTTTAAAATAGGCAGACACGATCTACAGTGTAATACTCTAATTCTCAAATCTGAATGATTTATGAATAAGATAATCCGATTTAATCTTTTAATTCGTTCTAAATTAAACCTTGCTGTGAGTTGAAACAAATTGTCATTCAACAACGACACATTTGTTTTACTGTATAGTTAGTTTCCATTCTCAGATTTGCACTAATGGAGGACTTACGACTGCAGATTGTAACAATTACCGATATAATTCTTGCATCTTTCATTCATTTCCATCACTGAATTACTCAATATAATTGACCGTGTGATTTGTTGAGGCACTTTTAGTTTATTGATTCATTTCTGACTTTTTAACCAAAATGTATATTCCAACTTAAATGTTCTGACTACTGGGTAATTTAAATTTTTTTTCCTGAAGATGTCGACAGACAAACCAGATAAAAAGATGAAAATGTACAAATGCTGCGTAGTTTGCGGAGACCACGCTAACGGACTGCACTACAAAGTTATGTCTTGTGAAGGATGCAAAACATTTTTCCGACGCAATGTTCAACATCGAGAGAAACTGAAGTGTGAAATGGACACGGGTGGAGCCTGTGAAATGGATTTGTTTACTCGAAGACAGTGCCCGGCATGCCGAATGAGAAAGTGTTTAGACTCTGGGATGCAAATCAACCGTAAGATTTATTTTATTTTACATGCAAGCATAATGTAATATACATAAAACCCATAACACTAGTGAATGCAAAGAATACACTACAGAATACAGAGACAACCTCCTGTTCTATTGACATGAGCTATATTATAAAATTCAATACTTAGACACACTATAATTGTCTAACATGATTGATCTACAGGAAATATAATGTACGGTGCAACGTTTCCTGGTATCATGTTTTATTGACGTGACTTGTATTACAAAATTCAATATTTGAAACATAATGTCTAACACGATTGGTCTACAGGAAAACATTTTGAACATTTATTTTATTAAGAATCAGTGAAAATCACCAAATTTTTAGTCATGAACTGACAAAGAGTCACAGCGAAATAATGTCCTCATCAACTTTTTCACCACCAGACTTTCTCGCCCACATTTGTCTGCACATTTTTCTTCTATTATTCCAATTGGTCTGTTGGCCGATATACAGTGATCAAAATTGGTCTGTTAACCAATGCACAGTGGGCACTATGGCTTTGTTGGCTGATGCACAGTGGCACAATGGGTCTTTTGGCTGATGCACAATGGGCACAATGGGTCTGTTGGCTGATGTACAGTGGGCACTATGATTTTGTTGGCTGATGCACAGTGGCACAATGGGTCTGTTGGCCAATGCACAGTGGGCACAATGGGTCTGTTGGCTGATGCACAATGGGCACTATGGTTTTGTTGGCCAATGCACAGTGGGCACAAAGGGTCTGTTGGCTGATGCACAGTGGGCTCTATGGGTCTTTTGGCTGATGCACAATGGGCACAATGGGTCTGTTGGCTGATGTACAGTGGGCACTATGATTTTGTTGGCTGATGCACAGTAGCACAATGGGTCTGTTGGCCAATGCACAGTGGGCACAATGGGTCTGTTGGCTGATGCACAATGGGCACAATGGTTTTGTTGGCCAATGCACAGAGGGCTCTATGGGTATGTTGGCTGATGCACAGTGGACACTATGGTTTTGTTGGCCAATGCATAGTGGGCACAATGGCTCTGTTGGCTGATGCACAGTGGACACTATGGTTTTGTTGGCCAATGCACAGTGGGCACAATGGTTCTGTTGGCTGATGCACATTGGACTCTATGGGTCTTTTGGTTGATGCACATAGGGCTCTATGGGTCTTTTGGTTGATGTACAGTGGGCACAAAGGGTCTGTTGGCTGATGCACAGTGGGCACAATGGGTCTGTTTGCTGATGCACAGTGGGCACAAAGGGTCTATTGGCTGATGCACAGAGGGCTCTATGGGTCTGTTGGCTGATGCACAGTGGGCACAAAGGGTCTATTGGCTGATGCACATTGGGCTCTATGGATCTTTTGCTTGATGCACATAGGGCTCTATGGGTCTTTTGGTTGATGCACATAGGGCTCTATGGGTCTGTTGGCTGATGCACAGTGGGCACAATGGGTCTGTTTGCTGATGCACAGTGGGCACAAAGGGTATATTGGCTGATGCACAGAGGGCTCTATGGGTCTGTTGGTTGATGCACAGTGGGCTCTATGGGTCTGTTGGCTGATGCACAGTGGGCACAATGGGTCTGTTGGCTGATGCACAGTGGGCTCTATGGGTCTTTTGGTTGATGCACAGTGGGCTCTATGGGTCTATTGGCCAATGCACAGTGGGCACAAAGGGTCTATTGGCTGATGCACAGTGGGCTATATGGGTCTGTTGGCTGATGCACAGTGGGCACAATGGGTCTGTTGGCTGATGCACAGTGGGCTCTATGGGTCTTTTGGTTGATGCACAGTGGGCTCTGTGGGTCTATTGGCCAATGCACAGTGGGCACAATAGTTCTGTTGGCTTATGCACAGTGGGCACAAAGGGTCTATTGGCTGATGCACAGTGGGCTCTATGGGTCTTTTGGTTGATGCACAGTGGGCTCTATGGGTCTTTTGGTTGATGCACATAGGGCTCTATGGGTCTTTTGGTTGATGCACATAGGGCTCTATGGGTCTGTTGGCTGATGCACAGTGGGCACAAAGGGTCTATTGGCTGATGCACAGTGGGCTCTATGGGTCTGTTGGTTAATGCACAGTGGGCTCTATGGGTTTGTTGGCTGATGCACAGTGGGCACAATGGTGCTGTTGGCTTATGCATAGTGGGCACAAAGGGTCTATTGGCTGATGCACAGTGGGCTCTATGGGTCTTTTGGTTGATGCACAGTGGGCTCTATGGGTCTTTTGGTTGATGCACAGTGGGCTCTATCGGTCTGTTGGCTGATGCACAGTGGACACATGAGTCTATTGGCTGATGCACAGTGGGCTCTATGTGTATGTTGGCTGATGCACAGTGGTCTCTATGGGTATGTTGGCTGATGCACAGTGGTCACAATGTGTCTGTTGGCTGATGCACAGTGGGCACAATAGTTTTGTTGGCCAATGAACAGTGGGCACTATGGTTTTGTTGGCTGATGCACAGTAGGCACATGGGTCTATTGGCTGATGCACAGTGGGCTCTATGGGTTTGTTGGCTGATGCACAGTGGTCACAAATGGTCTATTGGCTGATGCACAGTGGGCTCTATGGGTCTGTTGGCTGATGCATAGTGGGCACAAAGGGTATATTGGTGATGCACAGTGGGCTCTATGGGTCTGTTTGCTGATGCACAGTGGA